ATTCATATACCCCTGTAAGAGTATTGTTTTGTTTGCTATTCTACGATTTCACGAAAATAGCATTCTACTACTTTATGAATATGCGCGTGTACTCATTTATTAATACTGATTATTTGATACATTGATGCGTTGCCAAATCCGGGAGTCGGAATCTGCTCCCTGGGTGCTTCGAGCTTGAAACAGCAGCTTGGAGGGTATGGCGCTGCACACCGGAAGCCCAAAACATTGCGACCCCATAGTTGCGGGACTATGGGAGAGCACGATTGTTCAGAGCTTCAACATCAGAGGCCTCAATATTTTGGTCTCTACGGGCCCACAACATTGGGACATCTCATGGTTTGGTGACTCTGGGATATTGGGACATCTCATGGTTTGGTGACTCTGGGATGCGAAAACCATGAGAGGTCCCAATGTTTTGAGGGTGTAGGGTAGGGGCAGGAAACGATGGAAGGTCCCAATAAAACTAATATAACCAATGTTTTCAGAGTCTCTGGGGAGCATGAGCCTGGAGATCCCAGAACATTCTTCTGCCTCCTGCATGGCTGAGTACGCATGGCAGGGCGATTGGTCCATTCTGTACTGAGTTTCTCGACTCTATTTTCAAGTCAAGCATTCCATGCAATTGAGCTGAACTCACTCCTTGCACAAATTATGAATTTATTCACCAACTGAATCGGTTGCACTTCAGCAACATGCCGTATCATTCAACAGGTTTTCTCTGCTTTGAATTATGTCAGACTCACAGCATCAAGCAAGCTTCATCAGTCAAGCGCAAGGACACGTAGGGAGATACAGCACTGCCGTGCAAGCACACTTGCACTGCTGTATTTCACTACGCAAAGAGTGAAGCCCCATATCAGACGGCACTCATCCACCCAATATTCAGGATGGTCTGCTCTGCAGTTCTTTGATTTGTTGCTCGAGTTCACTGAGTCTTGTTTACGACGTCTTTGCAGACTCGTGCATTTCAGAGTGTTCTTTCATACCTGTTTCGAGGGTCTCAGGTCGGAGTCCATGATTTCATTGCCAAACTCCGCACGTCTACATGTGTCCTATCCTGCTTCTGATGCAATGTAGCCATCGAATCGAGTAGATCAGAAATCCACGGCGGTGCTACTTGTTGTTGCTGGTGTTGCTGCACAAGGTGTGCAAGAGGAGTCGTCGGGACAGGTCCTAACCCAGGAGTGGGGGCTACAATACCGTCTTGTCGAGGGACATTCTCGTCGAGGCTTCCATAGGGTCCTGGTCCTCCATCAACACGCTTGTCAGACGCTCGACTGTCAGAGCTCTCTTCGTCATCTTTGTCTTGCTGGGTTAAGTCGAACACAGGAGGTCCACGAGCATCCATGAGTTCATCTTCCTTTTCTCGAGGGCTTGGCGGTTTGGCTTCAGAGGGAAACGGATTCTCAGGATCAGCGGGCATGCTTGGTTCAAAGGGCACCCCGTGCTCAACCTTTGGTTTCTTGAGTTCGGTTTCTGTTGAACCTGTAGAAAGTCTTCTGTTTTCAGTCCCAAGTCCTTTGAAGCCTTCTGCTTCTCTCTCTCGTGCCTTTTCTTGCATGGCGCTCTCGTCGCTCACCCCTTCCTCTTGTAGGGTTCGGATTCCCAAGTACTCTTGATGTGATGCAACACTGGTTCCTGGAATGCCTTGGCTCGTAGCAATCTTAGCAGCAACAGGGCACACAACACCAGCCACACCAACTGTACTCGTGTTGTTCTTCTCTTGTTCATCCACAACGGCATCAAATACACCTGCAGCGGGCGGGGCATCACCACCAATGGCAGGCTGTTGGACAGATTCCATCGAACCCACTGTCCAAACCCTATCTGAACATTCAGGGGCATGTGAGAACTCTGCAGCCAGAACCACTCTAGAGTGCACACACAGACTGGTGTCTCTCGAGCCGAAACTTGAGCCAAAATGCCTGAGCCATAACCCTACTCCCAGAACATTGGCTGTATTGGTTTTATTGGGACCTTACAGGTTTCTGGGCTCTAACATCTCAAAACACTGGAACCTTTCATGCTTTTTGGGACTGTGGACTGTGAGAGGTCCCAATGTTTTGTGCTCTACGGGTACGGGTCCAAAACATTGGGACCTCTCATGGGTTTGAGCCCCTGGGATGCGAAAACCATGAGAGGTCCCAATGTTTTGAGAGTGTAGGAGCAGGAAACCATGGAAGGTCCCAATACAAACAATATTGTCAATGTTTCTGGGAGCATGAGCCTGGAGACCACATTGGGAGGTCTCATGCTTCTGGAACTCTGGAGTGCGAAAGTGCTGAGAGGTCCCAATGTTTTGTGCTATACGGACCCAAAGCATGGGGACCTCTCGTGGTTTTGAGCCTCTAGGATGCGAAAACCATGAGTGGTCCCAATGTTTTGGGGAGCACGGAGACGGTGTAGGGGAGCACGATCGGACTGTGTAGGGGATCTGAGCAGGAAAGCATAAAAATGGGTAGGTACGTGAGGGGGGCCGGCACCGTACATATCTATATGTCACCTTCTATGCTAAATGATGAACTAGATTATAGCCACGTATATACATATATATATATATATATACATGTATTTCAGAAACTTGTCACATCATTCGTTCATGATATAAATTTCTGTTTACGCATATACAGATATATGAATACATACAAAATGTACGTGTACACAGTGAGAACTGCATCTTACATCACATCATGCAGTGTATGTTATATTGTATCACAATTTTGTAACATAGCGAGGTATAGGCATGATACATGCTATGTTACACATCATAATGGACATTGTTGTGCGTTCGGCATGTGTTGGCCAAATATCAGACTCTATGTTACCCCTTCAGTTCCACTATGTGCTGTGGCACATACTATACTACATATTTTGTATTATAGAAGAATGTAATGTACTATAAGACAATGCAGTATGCTAAAATAGCAAGGATAAAAGATAACATGACAAAACACAAAATAGTACAATAGAATAGAATATGATACAGTCTGATATGTTGTCATATTATATCATGTAACCGAGTTTGAAACTAATCAATGTCGCAGCAAATAGTATGTTTGGATATGTATGCATGTGTATATATATATATAGATATACATATACGATGTACGATTTAACATGAAAACAGTATCATATAATATGATATAACAAACTGCATGGAATGTACTATATAATCTGCTATCATTTTGAATGCTATGATATACTATGCTATGATACAACATACTTTAACATATGATAATTGATTGGCATAACGTAAAGTATGATATAATACAAACTGTAAACTGTAAACAAAAACCTCTGTATTTTATGTGTTGTATATGAGAAGAACACATTATATTATAAGAGTACCTTATATATGCTGCATACATTACGGCATAAACAAGACTTGGTGTTATGATATACAGCCTCATAAAGACACTGTATATAACGCTGCATTATATCGACCCGGTATACCATAACATTTGTTATGTCGTAAACACATGTACATATATATACATATATATATACATGTAATCTTGATATGTTATATAGAGTGCCTTATAGTACATTCACAATGCATGCCTCCTGCATAGTCAACATTGCAGTGTCTTATGTTACTTGGCTTTACCTTATAAGTCAATTTGTTCAGTATGTGACACATCCGAGCCTTGCTTAATTATCATTAACCCGCACATCGTCCTGGAGCTGCCGCAAATCGGGGAGCACTCCCCATGGCAACCCCAAACATGTCTACAACTGTCTCAAGGAGTAGGATGAGTATGGTTCTCCGTCAAGTGAGTTAGGGTAGGACTCCCGAAAGGACTCTGAAGTGAAAAAACCGATGCCGCATGCCCGTGGCTGTGCTCCGGTCTTCACTGGACTTTAAGCACCAGCTGGCTGTGCGGAACACCGACAAAGCAGCCATGGGCACACGCACACGAGAATGTTGGGTTTCAGAGAGGACTCGAGGCCGAAAGCGCCTGTGTAACCTCGAAGATTGCCTGGCCCGAAATTACTGTAGAAGTTTCCTGCTGCCGCCACAGTCCAAGCATTCGATCTGTCGTGGGACATGTTGCTTGTAACTTTTTTGATGTTGCGGTGAAGTGTCATAGTTTTGAAAGCATCCAACATGTGTGCCAAGCCCGGCGCGCAGCGAGATCAGAATCTCCCTGAAACTTGGCCTCCTGGCACAACACTTTTCCCATGTGATTTGAATATGGGCTGGCGACAGAAGCTGTGCAAGATTGCCAAATTCAATACGGCATGATGTACGGGCACATCGGTCGCCTGGACGGCACCACTGCTGCGCAGTCGTCATAGAGCCTCCGAAGCTCCTGCGCCAACGTTGCGGCAGTTGCACGAATGATGGCTACGTTGATATGAGTAGCCTAACCCAGGATGCGAAAACAGCTCTTCGAGAAACTCTCTGCTAACTTGGTGCGAGTGTCGGCGCAGTAGGGAATCAACGGAGCCACACTGGACCACCCACACTTGCCCTATTCGCCCCACTTTCTTAGCTCGCCCCACACTGTCCCCGCTGGCCCTATCTTGCCCTTCCCTGGAACCCACTGCCCAATCCCCACGTCCCCACACTCACACCATCTCACACCACTCGCCCTCGGCCCACTTGCACTCGCCCCACTTGCAGCAGTTGCACTTGCGGCTGGCATGCGGGGTGGGCGAGGATCATTTCCGGGCAGCCGCGGTGAACTTGGTCTGGAGTCAAAAGTCAGACGTGCTGCGGTTTGCGAGAAGGCCTCTGGCACGGCAGGATGCAACTCCAGGTTGTATCCTGGCCATGTGCATACGACACTCTGGACGAGATCGTGGTATTCTTGCTCGCCGGCATAACCATTGAAACTAGTATTACTACACTGCCTCATCTGGTGTCATCTCGTCATGTGCGATTTCTTACCGGTACCAATAGCCGCTTCGCCGCTCAACCAGCATAGCACAAGCAACTCTTGAATGTCTTATGTTCGGTCAGCAGCCAACTCTGACACAGATCCACGACTGGCATGTCATATCTCGCATGAAAATCTTCTAACATACCACTTCGCCACAAGCACACAGCAGCGAAAAAAACTGACACGAGCCTTCTTTTTCCGAATCCCATCCTCCAGAAATCTGTTTTTAACTTCCCGTGATTTCCCGCGGCCTTGGGAGACCAGCAGAACCACCTCAATCGCTTGCAACTGTTGTTTTTCATGCGGCACAGCTGTACAAATTCTTGGCGCCTGGACCGCGGAACAACCGAAGAAGGGCCTCTGCCCAGTCAATGCCTCACCACAAGCACCACGCTATGCTACATCTTCCTTGAATGTACAGATCATGACTGCCTGCGGGCCACAAGTCGGTCTCAACTGATCTTCTCTTCGGCGCGACCAGGCAGCAGATGCGTAGACCAACATATTGTTGTGGTGCGCATGCAATGCAAGCAAACCCACCTGCCACATGAGTCGGGCAAACGCGAACACATCTCGCCTCGGAGCGCTTCTCAAAATCAACGTCAACTTGTGTTTTACTTGTAGCGCAACCCAAAATCCACAGCATTAGCATGTCTGTGAACATGATATATGAAAAAATGCATCTATCTTCGCACCCAACGGCTCGCGGCTTTGCACGCTGCCATCGGATTCCGGTTCCAGGCACTCCGGAGCCAAAAAAGTCACAGTCCCCAAGGCCTTGCTGCACACCTGACAAATAGACCCGCAGACCCACACGTCTGCAATAGTTCCTGTCTTGTCCAGTTTGTTATCGAACCTTGTCCACGCCAGCCGGCACCCTGCATGCAGAGCCAAAATCTCCGACCTGCGACATGACATGTTTGTTTGACACGCAGTCACATCGCTTTGTGTTCAACAATTACATCGTAGATTTGGAAGCTGCGCCTTGCAAACGAAGCCTTTCCAGCTGTCGCTGCTCGACAACAATACGTTGCCGTCTGCAAGGTCGCCGTGCAGAACTCCTCGCGAATGCCTGAGCTGGGCACCGGCTACATTATACATGTGCCAGTTAGTAGATTTGTTCCTCGCGAACTGCATGGGGACAGATGTGCTGCAAAGCTAAACATGGACTATCCTCTTGCCGGGACGTGCACGCGTGATGCACCTAGTTGTAGAGAACACCTGGAAGGGCACGTGGGGTGACCACTGCAACGATGTGGCCAAATCATACCAAACATTACGACGGCGCAAGCAATGGCCAACACAGCAGTGCGTCAAGGCAGGCGAACAGGAGGTGAATGCCCTTGTGGCTCCTCGCCGCAGTGACTTCACCTGGGCGCATGCGGCGCTCGTGGCGATGCAGCACGAAAGGAGCCAACTGATCGAGCGTCGACCGGTTTGGCGAACGAGCATGAACGAGCGACTTTTGCAAGTGTGAGTCGATGGACGCCGGGAAGCAGGTCTGGTGATACAACATTTCCAACTCCACACCTCGTGGGTCTCAAGATTTGTGATTGCGAAGTCGACGCAATGCAAATTATGATTCCGACTTTGTGAGAAGAAGGATGTTTTTTTTTACTTCCGTCCACTCCGCGGTCCCAGTGCACATGCCCAAAGTCCAGGCAACAGACTACGGCATGCGGCTGGCAAGGGGGGGCTGCTCGGAAGAGTCAGCCAGGACGTCGCTGAGGAGCGGCATGTCTCCATCAACGCTGGCGGTGCCGGACAAGGGAAAAGAAAGGAGGCTGGCAGCAAAGGTCCGCGCGGCTGCAAAAGCCAGGAGCGCAGACCAGCGCAACGCAAACGCGGCAGTGCACGCCGCCCGCTGTGCCGGAGGAGCGACACGTGCCTTGCTCCGCGCAAGGAGTCTGACAAACTCAGCGGTTTGGGGACTCCAGCGTCCTCCGACCTCAATGGCGAGGACGACAAGCCGACAGCGGCGCCCGGAAGCAAGCTCTGGGTATGTCCGAGCTTTGGATCCCCTCAGGTTGTAAGGGGGGGCTGTTCGGGCTGCCATTTTAGACCCCTCATTGTGCTGTTTCTTAGGAACTGCAACAATCCAGAAAACCCATTTTAGACCTTATGTTGGCTATGGACTTGCTCTTTGTTGGCTATGGATCTGCCCTCTAAACCTGGGCACTGGAGACTGAAATCGGGGGGTTACACCGGACCGCCCGAATCCATTCTAGTTTAGTTTCGTTCGGGCTTACACCCACCCATTTTATTCAGTTCATGTTGTCCGTATATGCACGCCATAAACTGCATCATGCATTCCAGACCCCGCACCCAAAACACAACTCAGACCCCAAGAGATTCTAACAAAATACATGTGCGGTTTTCGGCTCGATGCGGGCAGTCAATGGCACTGATGAGTTTCGGTTCTGGCCCCAAACCAAAGCAGCGCGGCACTGTCCCAAACTGTTTGGACAAATAAGAACATTCGGATTCTGTATGATACCTTGGCTGTAATTGGTTGTGCCATTTTGTGAAAACCTAAAAAGCCAAAAACTTTAAACCCAGACGCCTTGAACCCGGAAGCCCAGGACACCTAAACCCAGAAACCCTCATCAGCAAGGCCTTAAACTCCTTAAATTCCTACACCAGGAACGGAGAATCCCGGATCAAAAAACCTTGAAACCTTAAACTGTAAACCCCCGCCCAAACCCTTGGAAATCCTGCATCCAGAAATCCTGCACCCTGAAGCCCTAAACCCACAAACCCCGAACCTCGGAACCCTAAATCGCGAAAGCCTGAACGAGAAACCCTAAACAACCTAGAAAACCTGAATTCCTAAACGCATCAACGCTGAGCCTAGAAACCCTAAACGACACCCTAAACCTAAGCTCAAAAACCCTAAACCAAGAAACATTGAACCAAGAAACCAAGGAAATCTGAAACACACAAACATCCAGAACCCTGAACCCAGAAACCCTACTGTAAACCCAAAGCCTCTGAGCCCAGAACTCCGGAACCCAAAAACCCTAGGCCCAAAAAGGGCGCTCTGTAGGATTCCAGGAGTGAGTGTGCGACGGAAGTGAGTGAAGGAGTGAGGGAGTGAGCCCAAACCTTCAACCCTGAAAGCCCTAAAATCTTCAACGCTGCCGAGCACACGCGCACATACAGAGTCGCATACACAGACGCACTCACACGCGGCCCCAAAACCAAGAGACACTCAGAAACTTTTTTTTTTTTTTTCCGCTCCCTTTTTGCGTCTGCCGGAATGAGTGGTCCTTGGTCTCCTTACACAGCTAGCCTCCCTCCTACTTCGGCCCGCAAGCGGACCAGTCACCCTCGAAGCGGCAGGGTGCTGGGCCCCGCCGCGTCAGCGAGGTCCAACACGAGCTCGAGGGCCGGAGCGTCTACCGAGGCGCGAGGCGCCGCCGGCCATGCCCGACCGGCCGCCGACAGGGCTGTCGCACGCTGAACAGCGACCGACAGCTGGGTCCACCAACGCCGAGCCCAAGCTGTGGCCGCGGCATTGCGCAAAGCGGGAGGGGCGCGCAACCGGCGGAGGCGAACGAGGTCGCGAACAAGAGCGACGGCTCCTGCGCTCCAACGACCCCCAACCTCCGAGCCGAGCACAACGAGGCGCTGGGGACCGTTGCGGAGGAGCTCCGGGTATGTCGCCTCTTTGCGGCGTGTGGCCGTGGCGAGCGCTACCCCGTTTTCATCCGCTGCACGCCCTTGCGGCTGGCCATCTCGCGACACGGGAGAGACCAACGTCGCGTCGCAGCACAGTGCCCCTCCCCAAGGAGTGACGCCGTAGATGACCATGTCAAGTCGGCGGCGGTCGTCCGACTCCACTCCCGGTGCGGTCGTGTGCGTGAGCCACTGCTGTGGGACGACCTGCCCTTCGGGCCCGATGGCTTCGCGCGCCACGCGGACCCAAGCGTGCTCGACGATCTTGGCCCGGCGTGCGAGCAGCCCCGTGCGCGGGCAAGCCACCGCATGGTCCCCCAAGCGGTCAACGGGACGGCCGCATCCAGGTGCGTCGCCACCGCAAGTATTGGAGGTGAGCGGCAAAGCGAGACGCAAGCGCCTGCGCAACGCGATCTGCATGGTCTCAGGCGCCAGTACGTGGGCTTCATCCGAGGGAATAGCAGTCAGCCAAGCCCCGGCTTGTGGTCCCGCCTGGGACCGGAGGAGTGCTCGGGAAGCAGGATCCATGGTCGGCAACAGCACGCGGTCGCGAAAGTAGGTGGTGCGTGTCCGCGTCGCGTGGTGCTGCCAACCATGGGGCCAATCCCCTAGTCCCCGGTCTGGCAAAGCCTTCATGTGGTGGTTGTCGAGCAGCTCTGCCCAAGTGGGACAAGCCGACCAACCTTCCGTGAGCAGCAAGGTGCGAGCATCGGAAGCTTGTTGAAGGCTTGCGCTGCGGTGCGCGGCCGATCCTTCCAGCTCCGCGACACAACTGGCCGCGAAACGGGGTCGACGGGCGCGGATGACAGGGAGTGCATCAGCCCAGGAAGCCCAGTAAGCGGCAGGGCTCGTCCGCGCTGCGGACTGGAGTCCCAACCCACCCAGGGTCGCGGGCAAACCCGCTATCTGCCAAGCCGCTTGCGAGTCGGGCGCCGGCGCTCCTCCGATGCAGGAGAGGAACGCTTCCCACAGAGCTGCGTCATGCGCTGCCGCATACCCTGCTACCTCGGTCGGCGGGAGGGTGCGCAGGGCGTGGTTCGCTCGGGGTGACGCGCAGAGGGCGAGGAGCAGCCAGGCACACTGAAGGTCTGGGAGTTCGGGGAGCTCGTCGAGCAAGCGCTTCTCCTCCAGCATGCGCTCTACTGCCCACGCCTGGACGAACGCCGGATGCCCGATAGGCACGCCGAGAACCAGGAAGCCGCGTTCGCGTGGCGACTTGTCTCCGCGCCACACAGCGTCACCGAGGTCGGCCACCTCGGGCGGAGCTGGCACATTCGACCAGCCGAACATCCGTGTTTTGCCGTGGTTGGAAGATATCCCGCAGGTAGCTTCGACCTCGCCCGCGACGACATCCCGTGCAATCCGCGCGCGGGGCAGGGTGGTGAGGACGTAAAGATCGTCTAAGAACGCGAAAACCTCTTCGTCCGCTTGGAGGCGAGCTTGTGCCGCGAGCAGCGCTGCATGTTGGCCGATGGCGAACAGCGCGGGGGCGAGGGGATCCCCTTGCTCGCAGCCTTCCCCTTGATGCACTTCCTTCCGCTTCCCCTTGTCATCCCACCAATAATAGATTGATGTGCGCCCGTAGAAAAGGCGGACGAACGGGAGCAGGCTCGGGGCGACATTTTGCAGAGCCGTCAGGAACGACTCGCGAGACATTGTGTCGTATGCCGCCCGGCCGTCGAGGGAGACGACGACTGCATCAGGAGACCGCTCCAAAGCCACGCGGAGTTGGGTGGCAAGGGCGTCGGTGCCCGAGCGTGCTTGAAGGGCGTACTGGAAAGGACGAGTGGCCCTGTCAAACTCGGGTGCCCATTGTTTAGCAAGAGCGCGCGCAACCAGCCTACGGAAGCAGTCGCCCGTGGCGATTCCGCGGACGCCACCGGCCGGTTTGCGCAACGCGGTGAGGCGTGCCACCGCTAACGCCGCTCCTACCGCCGGCGGGATCTCGGCCCGGGCAAGGGACGTCGCTGCGAACGCCAACATATCGAGGCCCTCAGCGTCTTGCAACAGGACCTTCAAATGTTCGGGGCGCATGCCACTCAGACCCGGAGCACTGCCTCTGCGTGTCGCGCGGAGGGCCGTCGCGACCGCTGTTGTCGTCAACCGGGGCAACTCTACCGGCTGAAAAGCCAGCAGGCCCTGCGGCAAGGGCCGGCGCAGCTCGGGGGGGCGGCGTTCGGGGTCGGTGAGGCCAATCCATGTGGTGTCATCGCCTGGGGCGAGCTCCGAAGACGTGAGGACATGTCGAGCGCGGGAAACCTCGCCGTTGCGAACTTTTGCGCAGGCAGCTTGACGGCGTTTAGTCGCGTCTGTTGGCTCACGATCCTGCGGCGGCTGGCGGCCATCGCGAGCCTGGCGCAGCAGAGCCAGCCACTCGCCCCGTTGGAACGCTTG